GAAGTCTTCTGAAGATTTAGTTGGAGGGGTTATAGGTGAAGAGAAAGCTTGCTTATTGGTACAGAAAATCTTTTACAAAGAAAAAGCTTAATGTCATAAAAGGCTAGAAATACACACTAAGGCGGTATAGATGCGATTCTGTTGAAAATGGCAGACTTTTTCAAAAGATCCTGTACTCCTTGAGTATTTGCCGTTTTCAACAGAACCGCATCTAGACCGTAGTTTTACTTTTAAAATGGCTCTTTCGAAAGAGCACCATGATGCAATTATGCAAATGAAGCACAGGATATTTAAATCCCGTGCTTCATTTGCAATTTCGAAGTGTCTAATTTACATCCCTCTGTTGAAAGAGGAATGTAGTCTAGACACAGCCTAAAAGACATGACACTCCCTACCAAAAAGGGTTGTAGAAAGTATGCATATGTGTGTGAGAGAGATAAGATATGTGGATATGGGTAGAATGTCTATAGCTTCAATAAGTCAGATCTGATTTAAACTGCAAGCTCTTTGGTGAAATTTCTTTAGTGTTTAGCACCTTTTTGTACATACAAATAAATAAGAGGTTTGAGTTCCCTTCCTGCCTAATGGCGGTACCTGTGTGAGGATAGTTAGTTTTTCCTCCGAGAAGAATAAGGGGCAGGAGAGGGTAGAGGAGAAATAAAGTTTAGTGGGGAAAAAATCTGATTTTTTAAAAATGAGGCATTGATTTAAGATTAGGCCAATGGCTCTGACATAGGAGAAGCTGAAAATATAGGCTTGTAAACTTTTCAAGAAGTACCCTGTCCAGTCTCTTTCTTACAGCTTGAGATTTGGCCTGAGAAATTTTCAGATCTCTGAAGGCAATAGATTCTCTTATTGTTTAGCTAAAACAAAATGTTGACATACAAAAATAAAAGCCACAGAAGTTAAAGAACACTTATAGAATTATAGAAGTTAACAACACTAACTGTTGAATGCTATCAGAGGATTTTCTAGTAAGTGAAGAAAATTATACTACATTAGCTCTTACATTTAAGAAAAACAACAACCCACCCAGTCATAATATTTGGCCAGTTATTTTTGTAAAAAGAGATACAGCTTTAGACACGAGACCTGGATTTGGACAGCTGTATAGTCAACCTGTTTGATGAGCTTTCTACTTATATTGAGGTATGGGGTAGCTAGTATGAACTAACTCAGTGCGAGAAAAAGATTGTTAGGGCCATTTTATTTAAGACTCCTTTTTTTAAGGAGCATTTTCACACCATGGTCAGGGAAAGATTAAAACAACTTTTCTTTTGCTCTTTTAGGAGACAAACAAGTTGTTTCCCCCTTTATATATCTCACAGGGGATTTCAAAAGCACTGCAAGATTTAGAAATGTTTCCTTAATTGTGCAATAGCAATAGAGTCCTTTCTATCAATAGAAGTTCGCCTGTGGAATATGGCACATTTATCAATGAGATATCCCCAACAGGGTTCCAATAACTGAAAGCAACCACTCCTTCCTTGGTCATTCATTTTTATATTAAGGAGGAGGAGCTAGTCATGAAAATAATTGTGATTCAGTGCACAAATGACAGCTTTATCCTTTAGCAGCCAAAGTCAGAGAGGACTGACTTAATATTGAACATGCAGTGTTTCAATTTTCTCTTTAAAGCTGAACTGAGATTTCTGTAAATTGACTGTTAGCATACCATGTCTTTAAAATGATTTGAAACAAGGGAAGTTTGAGAAGTTTTAAAGAATAAGAGACAAATTATTCTCTACTCTGGGAATTCCATAAGGTTTCGTCCTTGTACCTGCTTTAAAAAATGTGTGCAATTCAATATTTTTAAATTGAGAACGCAGATCCTTTTGGAAAGATTCTATTGCAGAAAAATCAACCCCTGTAATACATTACTTCTCATCACTTGAGGAGCAAGAAGGAATGAAGTCCATTCCCCTTGTGATTAATGCTAATTCCTGTTTGCACTGCCATTTTCCAATCCTGCTCTCCTCTTGGACTTCTGTGCCTTGCATATGTCTCTCTGGTTTTCCTATTTCCTTTCTGATAATGAATTTCCAGACTATATCGTTTCTAGTCTTGTCTTTCCACTATGACGCCAGGACTAGTACCAGAAAATAACCTAGCTCGTCCTCTCAGCTACGCACTTAGTGAAGAAGGGCTCTCAAGGCGTTTTTCTCCATGTTTTTAAAATCTATTTATGGAGAAAATATATGTGCAAATTTACAGAATTATATGCACAAACCTACGTCTACAATTAGGTACAATTTAAAACATGTCACTACAGCTCCAATGCAAAGTTGTAACTAAGACACAAAATCGCATAGCAATACAGAGAAGACTGTGGGGGCCTAGATCAAAGATGGAGTAAGAAATAAAGAAAAAACGGAATTGCAGGACAGTTGCATGAAATAAAATGCTAAAGAGCAAAGGTCACCCAGTAAAGATCTGACACTCCAGTGGCTGAGCGCTAAAGTGCCCTATTATGGAAACAGCTGCGGAGCCACTTGATCCTAGCAAGGCAGAGGGCTTGGAAGAGAGAAATACATAAAATCAGTTTTCGTTCTCCGCAGAAAGCCCAGGTACAGGTTTTATTTGTCCATCTAGGGGATCATGTATGTATGCCCGTTATGGGAAGGGGATGGGGAAGAAGGAAAGGAGTCTCCATCAACAGAAGAGAAGCCCAATGCGATTCTTAAACAAACAAACAAAACAAAAACCCCAAAGCCAACCCAACAGCCACGAAAATAATCCCAACCCACGTCTGGTAAAAGCCGCCTGTCGTGTCCAAACGCCAATACAGATGTTAATAGGAGTGCAGGAAAAGGAGCTTCAACACGAATCACGGGAACACATGCGAATTGTGTAGGAACCAGGATATTTCTTTTCTTTCAAGAATGCAAATTTCCCTTTAGGTCAAGGAGACACCAGACAGCTACACATACAACATAGGTGTAAATTTATAACTGTTAGAAAAATCGTAATATACACATTTATGTTTGTGATAAATAGCCATGCAAAGGAAATAGATAAATGCACCTAAAAAGGGAGCAAATTTTTTTCTTGGCAGGGAAGGGGATTTATTTATATAGTTATCCACAAATATGAGTCTCCCACTTACTTTAAACAGTTCAGACAAGATCATCTCTCAACAGGCGAGTTAATCCTAAATCCGAGGCAGCTCAAAGGGCCGGACCTGCAAAATCCCTGGCACGAAACACCATGAATCTCAGGGAAAGACCTGCAAGTGCTGTGCTGTCAGCAGCAGTAGCTTCCCCCTGCTCGCCTCGGCCCTCGATGTTGCAACAACTGCTGCCTGGGAAAATGGCTATTTTATGAATGGGAGGAAAGGGACCCCCTCTGCGCATGCCTGTCCTCCCAACTCTATGAATGGGTGGGCACTGAGGTCCCAAGGCGCATGCTCTGCTCTCTTTTATGAATGGGGGGCCGGAAGGGAACTTGTTGCAAGTTCCAAAGGCTAGATGTGGGTTGGGTTTTTTTTTTTTTATGAATGGATGGCAGGCAGCAGCTGCGCATGCACCACACCCCCCCAGTCTTGGGCTGAAGGTAAAGCAAACTGCAGCAGGCGCGGGGTGCATATGCAATGAGAAAAAATAAGGGGGGGCATGGGGTTATTTGCGGGGAGGGTGGAAGAGAGCATTTTGTTCGGGTTTGATCCCCACGCAGGAGCCTTCTGGTGAGTCCTTCCAATGTTCGAGGCGCCTGGTGAAGCCGAGCAGCGGCTGGGAGCGTTGTTCTTGCTACGTTTCTGGCAGTTGCTCTCGATTTTGCTGCTGCTCAGATGTAAAACTACAGAGGTCCCCGTTTCTCCGCACCCCAACTCCGAGTGCTGTAACGACAGCATGACATTTCCCCTTCCTCCCATGCAGCCTTCCTCCCGGCAGGACCATCTCCGGGCTAATTCCCTCCTGTCTTTGCCATTTCCAATGCGACTAGGGGAGTTGTGCTGATCTGCAGCGGGCAATGTTTGTGACCTGCAAAGCGCAGGGAAGCGTTGGACCACCATGAGTCAGATATTTCTACTGCGATTATTTTCTTCTCCACCCCCTTTCTCTCACCCCAAGGAAAACAGAGATTAACGCAAGGAATAGGGAACTCACATGATGTACTAGCACAAATGTTATCTTGCCTTTTCCGTTGAAATCTGTAGGTTGATCTTTACTCCTTGAGGTCAGCCAAGACTGGATTTTTCGAAATAACGCAATCTTTATACTATGTAATGGCTTTCATTAAATGGCATTCATCCCTGATTTAATCCCTCTGGAGTGCATGGGACTTCCCAGACTAGAGAGAAGCTGCTCCCTGTCTTACTGACGAACAATGAGAACATGCATCATGCTATGGCGAGGGAGAAGGAAAAACAAAGCAAAGGGAAAACAGCTCTTAGGAAAGCCTTTATTTAGGAGGAAATCTGATCATTTTGGCACACAGACATGGTGTACTTGCTTGTTTATCCAATGAATTTGCACATGAATGTGACTAGAGAGAAAGAGGGGAAATAGTCTGGAGTTGATGTTAGTGATCAGAATCTGGTATTCGATGTGGGTGGAAGAGTGACATATAAGATGAACCATCTTATTGCTGAAAATAGTTTGCCTTGCATTGTAGGTCATTTACCAGAAGTTAGGCTTCTAGTTCAGTCCTTCTACTGCAGCATAGCTAAATAACAATATCTTATCATCAACACTGATATGCAAACTCTGTCGGGGACAATATATCTGATAGGCAATGTATGTTGATTTAACTTCAGTATAATGCATCGGGGTCACATTCTTCACTGATTTAGTCTTGCCACACCCCCAAAATTTTAATGACACCATCCTGAGGCTTTGGATGGCCTTGTGGCTGAAACTAGGCCTGTGAATTAGATGATTTGGGTTCTGAGCTCAGCTCAGCTGTTCTGCTTCTGTGTAGTTTTGTGCAAGTCATATATGGCCTGATCCAATCATTCAAAGCCCTTGAAGACATAGGGAGACTGGACCATAGGCTCCATTTTTCAGGTGCTGATCACTCCAACAACTGCTTATGTCCTGCCTCATTTCCCTTGAAAATCTTGGCCTGACTGTGGATGCTGAGTATTCTGAAAATCTCCTTATATGCTTCCCATTTCCATGGGTAATCAGAGACATTTTCCAACCAAAGAAAAATGTTCTTTAGGATCCTTGCACAGACAATGTTATCACTGTAGAAATTATTATAAATAGTAATTTGTTGTTTAATGCATTGTCGTCATTGAAGTGGACGTGTTCCAAGTGCTGAACAGATTTTTTTTTTTACTTTTTCCACTAATGCTAATGAAGAGTGCAGTGTTGTACACTGGGTTAAATATGTCACCTACATAAAATTGTTTTGAAGAAGGCAAACCTTGTAGATTGCAGTTGGTGTGTAGTATAGTCATGTATTTTGTATGTTTGGAGTACAGGAAACCTTTCCAGTTATGAACAGGGGCTGTTATTGGGCCATCCACAAATGCAAGGAGGCCAGCGAGAGAGGGAAACAGAGATGAGAAAGTCATTTATGTTCTCATGAAAATGCTTCATAATAAGACATTTAACAATCAGGGGCACATAAGACAAAACTGACCTGAGGTATGCTTTTATCTTCTAATGTATGCATTGAAAGATCTATTATCCCTGGACTTGGATAACATTAGTAGCTACCAGCTGATTGTTGGCTCCACCCCAATAGTAGGTATAATTGTAGTTCCGTGATTTGTAAAGTACTGTGAAATCTTCTGGATTAATGGTGTTACTTAAAATATTATTACTAGATCTTAAACATGCAAGATTGACAACCTTTTTTTAAACAAATACCTAAAAAAATGGAAAATGGTTGCCCAAAGTGTTTTTCTTTGCTGCTATTGCTCACGTATAACATTATAGTTAAATAATTATATAAAAAGGCAGAAAAAAGGGATTTTTTTCTGCATTTCCCTGTTCAGTAGATTAGTAAATGTATGGCTATCAGAAGAAAATATAAATGTAACTTTCCTGAAGAAGGAAATGCTATAGGGCTACCCCATTGTAAATGTTATTGCTGAAGTTGAGAAGTTCAAATGCACAAAGATCTCTGGATCAGATCACTCTGAGGCAGCAATTCTGAGCCTTTATTTAAATTTTGCAAAAGTGCTGTACCTTTTTGCTGTAGTTTGCCATGGTGTAGCTGTGCTGGTTCTAGAATATTAGAAAGGCAATATCTTTTACTGGGTGGGTGAGGCAATATCTTTTATTGGAACACCCACCCTCTGTTAGTGAAAGACACAAGCTGTCAAGGGTACACAACACTCTTCTCCAGTTTTGACTTTTTCACCTATCAAAGTTGGTACAATAAAAGGTATTTCCTTGCCCTCCTTGTCTTCTGTAACTGGATAACATGAGATTCAAATGTACCCTCTCCCAAAAATTAGAGGTGTTCAAAACTAGGTTGTGACCAAGTGCATCTGCATAGCAAACGTAATGGAAGTTCTTTGCTCCTGTACAATATGTTTTACTCCATAAATCCTCACCTGCCTATGGGGCAACTGGTAAACTACAGGTTGAACCTCTCAGGACCTCAGGGTGTTGGACTACACTGGTGCCAAATGAGAGAATTTGCTGAACCCTGGGAGGTCAATATTGTAGTGAGTGGGTCTCGTTATTTTTATTTCACCGAGGCGAATAAATGGAACAGAGCTTGCAATGCTGCTTAGTAATGTGTGACACTACAGATACACCCTATAGATGCCTATGCCTAGCCAAGGCTTATCAGCTCTCTTCCTAATAAGTGTTAGTGTCGTTACACCATTTTACTGTATTGGCATAAGAAAATAAGTAGATAAAGCATGAAAAACATGCTTCCGTTTACCAGTATTGCCAGCACTTCCACTGCTTGCTAGGGATGTTAAATTGTGGGTAATTGACTAATCGAATAGTCTAGACTAATAGTAATAGACTAATCGATGTGAATAGGGCGTCTCCACCTTTGAAGTGGAGCAACAGCTCTAGGGCTGTTGCTACACTTTAAAGGCGAAAGTGCCACACGGAGTCTGGGGTCAGTTGGGGACTCCCCAGCTGATCCTGGGCTCCGTGGGGCACTGCTGCTTTGAAATGCCACCGCAGGAGCCTAGGCTCCTCCCGGCGTTTCAAAGTGGCAGCGCCATGTGGAGCCTGGGGTCAGCTGGGGACTCTGATCCTGGGCTCGGTGTGGCATGCCACTTTGAAATGCCGGGAGGAGCCTGATGCTGGGCTCCTGCAGCAGCGTTTGAAAGCAGCAGTACCCCAAGGAGCCCGGGGTCTGGCCCCAGACACCATACAACACTGCTGCTTTGAACTACCCCCTTCTTTGCCCCCACCACTTGCTGCCTCTTTCTGCTTGCTGCTCTCTCAGAAGACATGTAGGGGTAATTTAAAACAAAATAACAGCAGGACTGGTGACTGTAAATCAATTTTATGGGACTGCAGGACACTTGGCCACACCCACAATAAGAGGACATCCAACCAACTAAAATCATGCCGGACCATGGATGTTGGCAGAGTAGAGACTGCCGGACTAGAGGGGTTCAACCTGTATTATGTTATATCAAAGAAGCCTGATGCTATAATTAAACAGTATAATGATAGGCACAGCACAGTAAGGGTTTATAATCTTTGATATAGGAACTACTAATGGAATATGGCAGAGGGGAACCCACTAGGGATAACCCACTGCACTTGAAAAAGGAAACAAAAGATTAGTCCCCAAGTGCTAGGGCACCAACAGCTAGAAATGGTGAAATTGCATCTGGAATAAGATTTTTTTTTAAGTATAATTTTGGGCAAACAAGAAGTTATCTATCAAGGTAATCTATTTCCTCCTTTGTTTCTGCTCCCCTCCCCAAATCTCACTTTATGTTGCATAAACAATGAGGAACCCTGTGACATCTTAGAGACTAACTGATTTGTAATTGGAAAAAAATTAAAAAACAACTAATAGTCCTGCAGCACTTTAGAGACTAACAAAAAATGTAGATAGTGTCATGAGCTTTCATGGGCACAACCCACTTCTTCAGATGAATAGAGTATTTATAAGTGGTCAGCCCAGGTGAGACCTTTTGCTGGGGAAGCAGGACAAAAACCAGGAGATGGTACGTGGCTGGGACCAGGAGCTGGGAGGGGAGCAGTCTAGGTTGGGGTGGAGGACCAGAGCCAGGCTCTGAGGGGGGGAGGGGGAGCCTTCTGCCAAAGATGGATTATACTGACTGCTTCTGGTGACTGTGCTGACAAGTCTATTCTACAGTGTGTTCCTGTCTCGACTAATAAACCTCCTCTTCTATCTGCTATCTCAG